AGTCCCAACATCCCGACAGACAGAAGTTGGGGGAGCCAGGCTTGAACTTAGAATTTTCGAATAGTTCAACAAAGTTTTGAAAACAATGTGCTGAACTGTGAAATAGTCCACACATCATTATAAGTAGCACTTGAGTAGAAATTAGGTGACTGCTGTCTATCAAAAGTGCTGTAGAGAGGATTCCTTTGCTGGCTGAGCCAGAACACATCACTCAGTAAGAGGTACTGTGATCATCAGGACGTACAGTTGGCTCTGCCCAGTGAGAGAGAAATCCCTGCCCACCTGAGAACACCAAGGGTCTGCCTGGCTCCAGGTTTTTCCAGGCTGCTGCAGGCGGACCCAGCCTCAGCCCCACACCAACAACCCCTATGATGTTGCAGGAGGCCTTCATGGACTGGGTTCCAGGGAGAGGAGTTTGTTTGGTTAGTGGGTGTCGGGGTTTTCTGTTTGGTTTGTCAAGCTTCCAGTCTGGCCCCTGCATGGCAGGAGACCAACTTTTCTGATGGATTTCTCTACACTGCCCAGTTTGGGAGAACAGATACTGTGGGTCAGGCCAGAAGCCATAAATTTCTGAGAAATAACTTAGTGACTGAGGAAGAAAGCCATAAAACACCCTGAAGGCAGGGACTGGAGAAAACAAAGGCAGCGGACAATGCCCGGGATCACTACTACATGCCAGGATAAACCCCATGCATCATCCTCTTGGCCCACACCCCTGCTCAGAGAGCCCATAGCAGACATGCTCCTGGTGCCCAGAGAGGGAAGGACCCCGACAGTTGTCCCTCTTACTGTTCTGTGTTACCGAGGGCCTCCTAAGTGGCAGGCACTATACTAAGCACTGGAGCTAGCCATGAACAAAATAGACCCAAATCCCTGCTCTGGGTGCAGCTTATATTTTAGTGATCTCTTAGGTCTCACTTGGTGGAAAGAAACTGACATGTATCATGCCCATACGGTGCCATGGTTTTTACATATTTACCTCAATGGATTTACATAACAAC